TTTACCCCTATTTTCAAATCCTGCCTAATACAAACTTTCAGGTTAATCAACTTCAGGAAACCCAGAAATTCCACCAGTGCTAAAAAATTAATAGGAAAAATTAACAAAAGGAAGCGATCCCTCACATAAAGAAGGCTTAGCTAAAACTCTATTACGCTCCTACGTGAAGATCAGCAGTTAAAGTCCACTTTCATTTTTAGCTTGTTTAAATGCAATGAAAGGAAAGAACACTTAGCCAGGACTTCGGAGCCCCATGCCCTTTCTTCACTCTGCCAGCATCATATGAATTTGGAGAAGATCCTCAGTGTTTCTGAGTCTCAATGTCCTCAAATAAACAAGAGAGTTGCATTGAATGATCTTCTTGGGTTCCTCAATGGTTATTGTCGGATTTCCTGATCTCATTTCCATAGTCTGGTCTGTTACAAATTTTATCTTTACATGTATCATGTTTATCAAAGTGTTTATCACTGATATATTTCAATGACATTTTTATTACATTATTTGAGACTAGAAGAATGTGCTCCCTACCAGTTAAAGACTATGTTTAGTGCACGCTGTATCTAATTCTATCTTGCTAAATCTGTTTAATGCCATTAGCAGTTCTCTCTCCACCTAAGGACAAGCAAATATGACCAACTGAGGCTGCCTTACTCTGCAAATCTCTGTTCTTGCACTTGAATCCCCTTATTCTACCTTGATTCAGGGATAAATATGATTCTCATTTTTGTAACAAGTTATTTGTTTCCATTTGTACCTTTTAGACTGCAAGATTTAGAGTCTTTTTGTTTCTTGAATCTACTTCAAATGTGTGCCATTTAAAGTGAACTGAAGTCACCTCTTGTGTGTGCTTGTATTTATGCCCCCTTGTTCCATATGGCACAGCCATGCCCACACTCAGTTCATGTCACTGAACCCATGTGCTACATTTAAAAAAGTATTTTCCATCATCCAACTTATTTCATGCCAGATTGTTTTTTAGAAAAATAAAAGTTTGTCCTGATAAAACTACTTTGAGTTTTGTATACAGCACAAAATTTTAAGCAATTTTTTCTTCCATAAAAGAGAATACTTATTAAAGTTGTGAAATAAGCTATGAGGTTATAGCTTACGTTTTAAAGAGAAATCATTTCTTAAATCAAAGAAGCAAAATTCTTATGATTGGTTAGATTAGAAGCCAACAGATTTATTGGAAAACATCTCTAATCCTAGATTTCAAAATGCAGCCAGATTGGAATCTGAGCATCTTTGGAATTTGTGATGACTCATGTAGGGCACTTGTGTATGATGCAGTCTTGACATGGTGCCAAAACAACTGGTCACATCAATCAAAAACATTAGTTGAGCAATTCTTCCGTGCCATGTAGACAATGGCCCAGTTGGTTATATTTTTCATTCTTCTACTAAACACTTTGGCAGCATGTCGACATGATGGCAATTTGGCTGTGCTTCTGATGAGAGTGATGCTGTGTGTGTGATATATATGACCCAAGGCTCAATTCTTTGAGGAAGCCTTTCCAAGGCAGCTCTGAGCCCTCCCAGGTATTCAAACTTTCTGCCCCTTGGAACTCTAAGATTTTTGTATATTCCTCTAGAAAGCTATGGTTCAACAAATCAGGGATCATATAGCACAAAGAGGCCCTTGAGAGAGCCTTTGGTCCAGCAGTTGATTCTGTATATTTATTTCTTGGAGTCACTTGTGTTTATATCCATATATTTATGTTGGTGCTGTCTTTCCATTATATTAGAAGGTCTTTAAGGACTTGCCTTGTTTCTTTCTTCTTCTTCTTTTTTTTTTTTTGGAACTCTCCACAGTCCAACAGAGTACTCTAAAATGGTCTTGGACTACTTTCTCAGAACAGTCTGTGAAAAATTCCTATCATGCCAGATAGCTAGGCAGAATTTACAAGGGCAGCAGAAACCCTGGTCCTCTCCTCTCCAATAAATATATATCCAAAGTACAGGCACCTCACAAGACACTAGATATGTTTTCAAAGGTCTCGAGATGTTCTGATTTTACTTTTGACACAGGTTTCACAATTATTATTGGACAATTCATAGAGCTACAAAATATGTGCTTATTCAAATAGTAATAGAGGCATGGGTGGGAGCTCATAGCTTGACTTCTTTAGGACAACAGTTAAAGGTGGACAGAAGGTCTGGATCAGATCTACCTCGCCAACTGTATCCCCAGTGCCTGACATATGATAAGTGTTGAGGTAATGTTTGTTAAATAATTACAAAAGTGAAAGAAAGAAATGAAAATAAATTTACTATTATTTCTTTCACTAGAATTAATTATTCCTTTGATTAAAACAAATTATGAATATTGGCCCACTTTAAGAAATAGAAGCTGCTTTTTTTTTACTTTTAGATGTGTTTTATAGTTGACTTTCAAGGTTTCTTCAAATTCCTATTTTATCTGAAAAGTAATCTTAAATAATTATCACTGCTTCTAGGAAATGGTTTTATTTACTATACAGTTAGATACTGAGTAACTATCTGTCCCTCATTGAATGTTGTTTACTTTTTATAGATTCAAAAAGTCTATACTCAAAGAGTTGCTATAATTTCATAATGCTATAAACAATATTGTATATGTGCTTCAAAAAGATTCATTTTAATTTGAGATATTTAGAGTTTGCTAAAGTGCAAAAAATCCACCAAAAAAGAAAAAGGAAACAATCCTATTCAAAGTTGTTCAAGATGCCTGCCTAATCTAAAACTAACACAATGTCTTTCTATTAATATAGTCTGCTCCTTATGATTAAATCAAAATGATGTTCAAACCAGCATTTTAGATAAAGAAATACACCTGATAAAGACTGAAGATATTGTATCTCCTAACATTTGTCTATAATATTTTTTTTGTCCTCTGGCCAATGCCTTGCTAAGGATAAATAAAAATTCTAATTCACAAGAAAGGATCTTTTATGATTGTTTAGAAACCACCAGCTTGTTGAACTCACCTTTACTGGACAGATGGCAGTTGACAAACTGATCTCAGCCAATATAATCTGTCAAAACAATCTGCCAGGAGCAGGTGTCAGATAATTATCTAAATGAACAGATATGTAAAGTAATAAACAAACTAGAAATAGGTACTGAATGGGGAACTCAAGCACCTAAACTTCCAACCTCACCTTAAGTCGTACGTATGACACACACATTAGCTAGTGCTTAGGGCAAAGTATAACCAGGAACAGCAGTTTCTGTTTTCTTTACCTCTGTTTGCTTTGTGAAAATGAGTTTTTTGTTTTTTTTTGAGGAAGATTAGCCCTGAGCTAATATCTACTGCCAAGCCTCCTCTTTTTGCTGAGGAAGAGTGGCCCTGAGCTAACATCCGTGCCCATCTTCCTCTACTTTATATGTGGGACTCCTGCCACAGTATGGCTTGCAAAGCAGTGCCATGTCTGCACCCAGGATCCTGACCGGTGAATCCCAGGCTGCCAAAGTAGAAAGTGTGAAGTTAACTGCTGTACCACCAGGCCGGCCCCTCTGAAAACAAGTTTTAAGATTTTCATTCACACAGAACTTTGGTTACATCATTGTATAGCAATTTTTTTGTTTGGCAAGTATTTTTAATGCCATATCTTAAGTCCAAGAAATAAAATAAATGTTTGTTATATTCAGAGTTATTATTGTAAACATTATATGTATATATAAACATGTAAAACATTAAGTACACATAACTTAAAGCAATTAGAGAAAAAATATATAATCAGATACACAAAGATTCTTTAATTTCCTAATAAGTGAATAGTTCTCCAAATTATGAGTGATATGCATATACATTGAATTATAGATATATTTGAAAAAACGGAAATTACCTGGTTTACTTTAGTTAAAAGCTAACAATTGATCAGTATGTATTTTGGAATTTATTATTTGCCTACATAGACATTAACGCTGTCAGTCTTAACTTTGATTATATGAATTATATCTCTCAACACATCATATTAGTTATAAAAACGAAGACTTTTAAAAGTATTTATTAATCAATTTAAAATAATAACATATACCTGTTACCATACATTGCATATTTTATTAAAAACTATATTTTTCAAAATAAAGTTTTGAGTCTCTCTCTAATACCAGCTAAGTTTTTAGCCTGATTAATACATTCCCTCTTTTCTTTCTAAATGTGCTAAGAAAAATATGCTTAGGAAACATCTGTACGTATTGTTATTAAAGGAATCCTCTTTGTCATGAGCTTATTTATCCCCGTGGCAAAGATGGGGCAAATTTATCAACACTGATATATTACTGATGAAAACACATCAGTTCAAAACTAGACCAGTCTGTATGGCTGTTTCTTTCATTTAGGTGTGTCCCCATAGATAACTAGCTATATATGCTGATGTTAACTCTTTTCAATAAATTTTTATTGAGTAGGATGGGTGTAAGTGAAGAAAGAATGATAAAAATAACTTTAGGAGTTTTATATTATTTTCCACCCCCCTCCAAATAAGCTTGTATTTAAAAGGATTGATTGCCCATAATCATAGATCTGCATAATTTGATACAGAAGAAAATATTAAAACCTTAAAAACTCAGGACAGCATACAATGCTTTATTTCTAAAGCAAAGTTCACCAAAGGCAGTAAATTAATCTTTCTGAGATGGGTTAGATACTGAAATGCAAGGCTATATACTACATCAGATTGTCAGCATGAAGTATGGAGAGTTTTTCCCTGCTCCCTTATTCAGCAGTTAGTTTTTCTCAGCTTATTAACTGGCTCCACAGCCAGCTGGTTCAAGTCTAAGGGCACTTCAACCTGAATGAGCAAACTGACAGTCTGTAAACATTTAGGAGAAGATTGAGATAGGAGTGCTCATTTCTGCATCCAACAGAAAGATCTGGTGGCATCATGGAAGACTATATTATGTCTGGTGACATAACATTGTAAATTAAAATAGATTTTACAAATGATTTTGCTCAACTATATGCTTGGGATTTTTTACCAGAACTCAAAATGATACTTTATTTTTTCAATAAATAGTAAGAAGAATCTCATCATAAATTGATGGCCTACTGTGTTTTAGGTGATTTTATAGACAGGATCTCATTTAATCACTGTCATTCTATGAGGTAAGTATAATTCCCGTTATACAGGTAAGTAAAATGAGAACTGGGTTATGTGACTTACCAAAATCATGTTGGTAAGATGAGAAGCCAGAATAGTGCCCCAGAAATGTATGGTAATTTCTACACTAACTAACTCCCAGTTGTTAATAACAAAATCAGCTCTTTCTTAAGAATACATCAATCATCCTGTAAGCTGCTTTCTAGTCTATCATGTCGATTTTCAGTTACTAAAAGAATTTACATTTAACAAGTTTCCTGAGATGTTCTCTGTGCTAAGGCTCTGCATTTCCATCAATCTGATCCACTCAGTGCGCTCACATCTTCTGGCCCTCCTCCCACCATTCATTTTCAATACCACTTCACTGCAGATCAAACTTCTAAAACTCCCACATTCATCTCTTTGACCATGAACTCTATCAGATTCTCTCTCACTTTCATTTCTCCAGTAATTGCTCTTCTACCAAAGAGAGACTTAGGGTCTCTTGATTCTGTCATTTCATTGGTTGATTTTTCCTCTCTTCCATTCACTTCTTCTGTGGCCTCTATGGTTTCAAACTGGAAAGACTCTCTCACCAATTCTCAATGTCTTCGCTAGGTATTCTTCTATAGAGCCCATGGAACAAATCTCAGACATGGATTTGTTCTAAATAAGAATTTTTCTCTTTCTATACTTGGATGATGAGTCCTGTACAGGAAACCCCAAAATTCTATAAATTGGTCCCAAATAAATAATTGATCTTGATCTTAGCTGATCTCTCAGCACTTTCAAGACCTTTTGCTTGTTCTTGGTCTTGGTCAACTTCTATTTTTCTGAGCAGATATTCCAAATCTTCATATCTTTCCTCAGCCCTCTGGTCAATACTTTCTTCATAACTCTCAGAGTGACACATTTGATAAATTTGATGCCATCAAATGTGAACTACTTCAACTTTATGCACCCACCATTTACAAAAATGTTCCTATTTTTGTACTGTGGCAGGCCACTCCTGAAATGGTTCCTAATGATGCCTGCCTCATGGTATTCAGACCCTTGCATCTGGGATGGACCTAATGACTTGCCTCTAAGGAACAGAATGTGGCAAAGTGACATAATATAACTTCTTAGATCATAGAAAATTAAGAATTCTCTCTCTCTCTCTCTTTCCTTGACTTGCTCACTATGATGAAGCAAATTGCCATGTTGTAAACTGTCCTTTAGAGAGGCCCCCAGGGCAAGGAACTAAAGGGAACCCCTAGCCAACTGACAAGGTACTGACATCTTCAGTCTAAGAGCTCACAAGGAGCCCCATCCTGCCAACAACCATATGAGTGAGCTTGAAAGCACACACTTCCCCAGTGGAGCCTTGATGACGGCAGCCCCAGCCCACACCTTGTCTGTAGCCCGTGAGAGAACCTGAAGCAGAGGACCCAGCTAAGGGGCACCTGGATTCTAGTGTAGAAAAACCGAGAGAGAATCAGTACTCTTATTTTAAGCCATTAAGGTTTTCAGTAATTTGTTATGAAGCCAAAGATAACTCATACATGAACCCTCCTTTTATTTAGCCTTGAAGGATCAGGTGCTCAAGGTCAACCTCTCCACCTAAGGGCTTGATCTTATGCCCTTCCAGGCTTCTCTCTCTCAGTTTTCTTTTTTTTTTCTTCTTTACCCTCAGCTTCTCTATCCTCTCTCCTACTGAAGTGAATTGTACTCTGTCCTTGTTTCCTCCCTGACAGGTGCCTTACTTCTCCATCTCAGCTAAACTTCGTAAAAGATTGTTTTGCTTCCCCTAATTTCTCCCTTTTAATTCAAGCATTCCATTAACCTATTATAAACTGGCTTCCACATCCATCTGAACTTACTCTGGCAAATCCCATCACAGACATTCATATCATCATATCTAATGAATGATTTTCAGTATCCAGGTTTTAACTTTTCTGCCTGAAAAAACCAATTGAGGGGCCGGCCTAGTGGCATAGCAGTTAAGCTCATGTGCTCCACTTCTGCGGCCCAGGGTTTGTTGGTTTGGCTCCTAGGCATGGATCTATGGACCGCTCATCAAGCCATGCTGTGGCAGGCGTCCCACATATAAAACAGAGGAAGATGGGCAGAGATGTTAGCTCAGGGCCAATCTTCCTCAGCAAAAAAGAGGAAGATTGGTGGCTGATGTTAGTTCAGGGTTAATCTTCCTCAAAAAATAAAATAAAATAAATTAAAACCCATTGAGTGAATGAACATTCTCACTGTTTTGAAAGTATTGACTCCTTTAGTTTTCATGAAACATTTAAATACTGGTTCTCTTTCCACCATAGTGAAAGTCTTTCCTTAGTCTATTGCATAGTTTCTCTTCTATTTCAGTGGTTCTAAACAGGAGGTGATTTGTCCCCCAGGGGACATCTGGTGACGTGTGTAGGCATTTTTGTCACAACCAGAGGAGGCAGAGAGTGTTACTGGAGTCTAATGGGTAGAGGCCAGGGATATGATCAAATATGCTGCACTGCACAGGACAGACTCACACAACAAAAAAGTTATTCAGTGCAAGATGTCAGTAGTGCTGAGGTTGATAAACTCTGCTCTATCTGATATCTAAAGCTGTTTTTTGCCCAACATTTCACCTCTCATCCACTCCTTTTACATGAGAAATCTCATCTGCTCTTGTGGTTTCAATTACTGCTTATATTCTGAAGATTTTCAAATTTACTGTTCCAGTACTGACTTCTGATATCTTGAATCTAAATGCCCATTAGATACATTTAACTGCATGTGTCATTAGCTGACCTAAATTAACGTGTCCAAAACTGTGGGTGCATTTATCTTCCCCATCAGAATTCTCCAGAAACCCTACATCTAGCAATATCAAGAGCATCACCACATGATTGGCCAATCTGTAATCTGAGACTCTCTTACACTCCCCATCCAATCCTCAAGTCCTGGAAATTTACCTCATATGCCCTTTTATGTTCCAAAATCCCCTACCTGCCTCACTAATGCCTATTTTTCCTTTAATTTCAGAGGAGGTGTCATCGCCTCTAGGGACCCTGCCCTGGCCTGACACAGGGTCCGGTGTGAGTCTTCTAAGCTCCCAAAGATGTAGGTCCTGCTCTAGCATTGAACATGTTGTACTGAAAGGATTTGTGTATGTTCTGTGTCCCCTGATAGATTTTAAATTTCTCTAAATAGAAGTCCATGTCTTATTTTTTGTGTGTATCCTCAGAAATCAAGTACAATGTATGAGAACGAAGATAATAATAATGGCAGCTAACAGTATTTGGGAGATTATTATATGCCAAGCACTGTATCATTTTCTATTTAATCCTTCTAACAAAGCTTTGATGTAGGTACTTTTATGATACCTATTTACAAATAAGTCAAACAAAGCAACAGAGAAGTTAAATCACTTAAGTCACATTGCAAATAAGTAAGGGACTAAGATTTAAAATTCATATTTCTAGCTCCAGAACTCACCTTCTTAACCACCATGCCACACTGATCCCCAAGGAATATACCTGTTTGTCTCCTACTCAGCTCATGATGCAAATTACTTTACTATTAATAAAATTGATGAAATATTATTAAAACTAATAAATCAACAGATAATATATGTTGAATTATAAATAATAATGTTATATTATTGCATATTAATATATCACATAAATGTATCCTTATATAACATGTTGTTATTAATATAAATGAAATTTAATAAAATATATCCACTTTAATACTCTATGAAGTATGAGAACTGCAAAAGTAAAATGTTTTTAGAAAGTGTAGTTTTTCTTTTCAATGTGCAAGATACTGAAATCAGCGTGTCAAATGTTGCCTTGGTCTAAGTTTGTGGCACTGCGGTGGAAGGATGTAAGAATTCAGACAAGTTAGTGATGGGTCAGTGAAAACAGCAGGACAATTTGCAGATTTAGAGAGAGTTTAGATTTTGTTATCAGAAATGAAGCTCAGAAGTGCTCTAAGAGGACACTAGACCAATAGAATGTGTTCTTGCTGATGCTGGTGGGCAGAAGGAGGACCAGCTGCAGCATTCAAGGATGAGAATGGGCCCACAGCAATGGTCTGCGGAGTGCTGAAGGCAATGATCGAAGCTACTCAGTCTCAGGTCTCAGGAAGGCCTGTGTTGGACCCATTTCAACTCTTCCAATACCACTTTTCAAGGGTGATTTTTTACCACATTAAAATAGATAATACATGCCAGCTCTTTTATTATGTGGCAAGGAAAAAATTGGTTCCATATTGTTTGTTGAGAAGCATTTGGAGGCAGGAGGAAGAATACGCTCTGGTTCCTTGAGCTACTGCTACACACCCGTTTCCTTATAATCTGGAACAGGAATACTGGCCCTTTAACATTTTCCGTGACCTCCTTAACCTCTTTTAAATAACCTGGATGCCATCTAAGGATTTGTCTTCTCACTTACAGTTTGTTCCCGTTTGTTTACTAGTTCTCTAAAGTGGATGAGAAGTTTAATAAATGACTGAGGCTCACAGAACACATCGGCCATTTTCCCCTGGGGACATCCACAGCCACAAAACAGACCTGAGATAACTCAATTAATGCCTGCTCCCTACTCATGCTCCAGACGGAGGACCTTTAAGCTTAGAAATTGGGACAGACTGTCCCAGAAGCTATGGAGACCAACCACCTGGCTGCAAATCCATAACATGTAATAGTATAGGATGATTATCTTTTTTTTCTTGCTCATTCTTGGTTATTAACTAAAAACCCTGAAGAAATGAAATATAACATAAAGGAAAAGATTACGGCTATAGCCCTAGTCAGACTGAGTTCTCCCCTCTATGATTTTGACGATCTCAATTGCTAAATCTGTAAAATGAGAGACAATAATACCCATTTTGAAAAGGATTTATGAATATTATATATAATGTATGCAAAGTGACCATTATATGTTATGTCCTCTTTTAATCAAAGCTATTTATATCTTGACACAACTGTACTTTTAGATAGGCAAAGTAAAAAAATCTCAAAGTGGAAATGTGTCCTTTACTGTAAAAGGGAAAATTTTTTATTATCTAAGTATGTGTAGTTTGTCACTCTAACTCATTAGGATATTCTTACAAACAAATGTATTAACAGAGTGCGAGATACATCATAGATGCTTAATAATGGCTTGCAAGTGACGAATGAAAACTGAAGAAGAATCTGGACTCTGCCTTTCCCCTTGGAGTTCCTTTTGCATTATTTAGGGGTCAGGAGAGAGGCTACCAGGACACAGGATGCTCTGGGCCTTCTGTGATCTGGGTTTTGTCAGGACTAAAATTGTTATGGCATGAAAAACACATTCCTTATGAACTCACAGTCCTTTATAAAAAAAAATTACCATCATCTCTTTGATGATTATAAAAATAATGCATTTTGTTGCAGAAAACTTGGATATATTGAAGGGTATAAAGAATAAAATAAACATCACCTGTAATCCTCCAACCAGAGAAAAATATTTGTTAAAATCTGTTTTTTCTTAATGTTTTCTTCCTCGATGTGGATATGTATATGTTTGTATTTATCTACAGTCTATCTATCCATCCACACATATGCATAATTACATTACCTGTATTATATACATACATGTATATATACATTTAATAGAATTTGATAATTCCACACTTAAAAATAAACTATGAGAATTCCCTATAATATTAAATACTCCTTTAAACCATCACTCAATCTTTTCATAGTATTTCATAGTATATATTTTTTAGCTCATTTCTGATTAATTTTATTTTCTATTCTTTAATAGTATAATTTATATTGTGATTAATATCTATATGAAAACATCCCTCTGCATATCTCTGAATATTTTCCTAAAATAAGTAGAATTACTGGGTCAAAAGATAGAAGCCTTTAAAAATCAATTTACTAAGGATGTTAGGCTTTGCAAATATATCCATAGTTTATTATTTGCCTTTTAATTATTTTAACATAAAAAGGCTTTACATGTACCTTGTCAAATACATCAATTTTTTTTCCCTTTAGAGTTCTGCATCTGTTTTATACTTAAAATGATCCTCCTTGTTCTGAGTTTATACTTATTTAACAGTTTTATAACTTGACTTATTTTATAATATTGAATTTTACACAAAATTTCTCAATACACCTGGCACTGACTTTGGCATTAGTCTGAGATAGTAAAGCAATTTTCTTTGCATCAAAGACCTAATAGATTTCCTCAACGACACCAAAATTCTTTCCTCATTGATTTAAACATCCTCCTTTATCATTTCCCGCATTCTTATTATATTAGGGCCTCTTTCTTCTCTTTGCATTCAGTTCTATTGATCTATTGTTATATGGAATTATCTTTTCAATTATTAATTTTTTATTCACTTGTACACACCTTGCTACACAAAGAGTGATCTGCTGACCAGCAGCAGCGCCATCAAGGGAGCTTGTTAGAAATGCAGCATCACAGACTACTGAATCAGAATCTCTACCTTATTTATATGCACATGAAAGTTTAAGAAGTGGGGACAACAGTTTCTTCTAGCCATTGAGCCAGTTCTTGTTCTGCTGCTGAATGAGAGGAGAGCGTGCTGAGGTCAGGAGGATCTGATGGGCTAAATTTTCTCAGTGGGTCACCACATTTTGCAAAAGGTGCTCACAAAAGCAAGGGCTGCCTTTGCAGATCCCTGCTGTCATTTCAGCAAGCTCTCCTACTGTAAGACCACTGTTTACAATAAAACCTCCACCTTTATGAGGCTTTTGCTCTGTTTTCTTCACTTAAAGCCAACTCAAACAGAAAAGACTAAAAGAAAATCATCATTCAAGAAATCAAAAGCGTTGCAACCCAGGTACTTAAATTTATAAAATGTCAGCTTTTGATAAACTAAAATAAAATAGTAAAATAAAATAAAATGGAAATTCCAATCCAGTCCGTGGAATCAAAGTGCTTAAGACTCTGCAGAATTTAATAGTTTCTTAGTGAACCATTTTGTCTGTTACATTTGAAATGTAAGCATTAAAGCAATGTAAAACTAACTAAGCCCTTGTAAAAAAGAAAAGAAAAAACCCTCCCTTCTTGTCTTACCAACACTGCTATTATCACATAGTGTGTTTCACATGATAAGCCATTCATTAAAGCATCACCTACTGTTTTTTTCCTCCTCAGAACCAGCTAGAACATGATCTGTCTCTGCATGAAGACGTTGGACCTCTGACCTTTTCTGTAGCTATTCCAGGCAAGTATAATAAACAGAGTTCACTGGGTTTCTGTAAATCTCTGATTATGTTTACTGTGGAATCCAAGTGTTCATCTCAGGCAGAAAAATTAAGGCTGATTTTCAAATATTATGTACAAACTCTAGCTACTAAGCGTTCCATAATGAGCACTTTGGCAATTTAAAGCAAATTAGGGTTCCCACTAGGCAAGGATGACATGTGCTGCAGTCAAAGAAAGATGGTATGCTCTTAATGGAGAATATTCACCAAGAATTTAAGATAAATCCAGAGAACTCTACTCATTGTAATTTGGGGGGTAAAAATCTTACTGCACTTCATTCCTGGGACTTTGTGTCAGTCTTAAATGCCCCTTTCCTGGTTTTTAAATCTAACCTTGTTGAAGAAGGCTAATGAGTCACAGCCCAGCATCCTTAGGTGGTTCTTTAGACACACGCCGATGGTGGGAAAAGGATTCCCTTCCCCAGGATCATCCGCGGCAGGACAGTTCAACATTCCTAACTATTGCCACAGATGAACACGACAGTTGATTAAAATGAGGAATAAACTTGTGTTTTCACCCAAGCACAAAATCAAATCAGAATTGCACTGATCATGTAATGTCAAAGAACCAAGATGTGGGGCCGGCCCTGTGGCTGAGTGGTTAAGTTTGTGCCCTCCACTTTCACTGGTTTAGATGCTGGGCACAAACATGGTACCACTCACCAGGCCACACTGTGGTGGTGTCCCACATACCACAACCAGACACACTCACAACTAGAATACACAACTGTGTACCAGGGGCTTTGGGGAGAAAAAGAAGAAGAAAAAAAGGGAGATTGGCAAAAGTTGTTAGCTCAGGTGCTAATCTTTAAGAAAAAAAAAACCCAAGATGTTAGTTACTAACTTATGATAGGCAAATTATTTGCATTATTCATTTAATTACATAGCAATATACATACTATAGAAAAGTTTAAAGATAGAGATAAGCATAAAGAAGAAATAAAAATCATCATTATTCCTACCACACAGAGATGATCATGGTTAACTATTGTCTATATCATTTGAAAATATGCATACACATATATACAGATAAATAAATATATATGACATGTGTATGTATGACAAATAAAAGACTATATACAGTGATAGTATGTATGTATATACATATACATATGTATATATGTATACAATTGAATTATACACATATATGTATATGTATATATATATTAATTCAATTGTCTGTGTGAGGTTGAAACATGTCTTATGGGTGGATATATGTATGTGTGTATGCAAGTGCACATATATGTATGTGTATGTGTGTATATATTCTCTGTGTGTCTGTGTGTATATACATAATTTTTGTAAGTTATTTTTTAAAGTAATATACCACACACACACATTTTCATGTCAAAAGATCAATATCATAGTGATATTCAATTGTATATATTTTACTACCATTTGTTTCACTACTGTTGCACGTTTAGGTTATTTCTAAGTTTTTTAATATCATAAACAACATTGTAATGAAAATTGTTTATATAACTGTCTGATTATTTCCTTAAAAATAATGGAATTACTGGGTCAATGACTATGTTTTTCTCTGCTTTATGAAATATATTACTACATTATCCTCTAGAAAGTTTGCATTAATTTACCTTGCTCCTGGCAATGTATTAGAGTAACCTCTTTTATCCTAAACCAAAATAGATGTTATCATTAAAAATTGTTAATTTGATAAACCAAAATCCAATATATTCTTTACTAAGAAAGTTAAAGTTTTTTTCACATCCTTTTTCCTGCTTTTTTTAATTGTATTCATTTTCTTTATTTGATTATAGGACTTCTTTATACATTAGAGGGATTACTCATGATACATTACACATGTAACAAATATTTCTACATTTTGTCATTTGCCTTTCACTTTATGGTGGGAGTTTTGTGTGCTTTGCCAATCAGAAAAAAATTAAATTTTATATGGTCAAATATACCAATCTATTAATTTGTGATATCATACTATTAAACAATCATTTTATCTTACAATTTGGAAAACACTGGCCTGTTTTTGTTGCTTCTCCTGGGCATCATTTTTTGATATTTAACTCTCATGTCCACCTCAAAATTACTATGATGCCAGGGATAAAGTAAGGATAATTTTTGTTTTCAGAGGTAATCACTATGTCACCACTATCTGTTAAATCTCTCTTTATACCATTGCTTTGAAATGATATTCTCATTATGATACAGATGTATTTATACACATACACACATACATAACTGAGTTTGTTCTTGGCTTTCTTCTCTATTCCATGGGCATCCCTTTCTGATTCTGGAATAAGTTCCTCACTCTGATAACTTTTGTTATCACTTAGTGTATTTCAATAGTTTATAGTGAGATTCCCCCACTCATTATCTTTCATTTTCAGAATTTCATTGCTTTTATTACTTAGTTATTTTTCAAGTAATACATAGGACATTTTCCCAAATAGACACAAATGATTTCTAATTTGAATGGAATTTCATTAAATTAGGAAGATTTGATAACACTGTCTTTCCATACAAGAGCATAGACTTCTTTTTCATTTATTTAATTTTCAATCTCTCAATAAAAGTGCAGAGTTTTCTTCACATGAGCCCTGCATCCTTTATTAGTTTTATCCCTAGGTATAATATATATTTATGTTAACTAACATTAACAGGAGTCTTTTGTTTTTACTTAGTATATAGAAATAATATTGTCTTTTGCAAATAAATTTTATAATATGTCATGTACAAAACTCTCATCTTTAACGATTTTATTTTTTCCTTTTTCTCCCCAAAGCCACCCGATACATAGTTGTATATTCTCCGTTGTGGGTCCTTCTAGTTGTGGCATGTGGGACGCTGCCTCAGTGTGGCTTGATGAGCAGTGCCATGTCCGTGCCCAGGATTCGAACCAACCAAACACTGGGCCGCTTGCAGCGGAGCGTGGGAACTTAACCACTCGGCCATGGGGCCAGCCCCAACTCTCATCTTTAGATATAATTGTTTCAAACTTGATTTACTCAGATTTTCTAATGACACTATGATAGGTATAATTTTCAAGTGATTTATAACCAGACACATCAAGAATATAACTTTTATCCCATGCAACTTGATGAGCGATTATTTAACCTAATCAGTTTCTTATAAGTTCAATCATTTCAGTGTTTTCTCTTCATTTAAGTTTAAACTCATCCAACTCAAGTTTTGCTTCCTCCTCCACTTTAGCGTCTACTGTTGAGAGGGTCCAAAATGGAATCAAGTAGAGGGGCAGCCCCTGGTCTGTGACATCTGTTCTCTGCTGACACCTTCTGAAACTCCCATTCCCCATGCACGGGCACTCTAGTTTTCCCTTAAATGTTCCACATTCCCTTCGTCCTCGATCACCTGGTGCATCCTGCAAATCTGTGTGTGTATTCCATCATAATAAATGCGGTATGACTTTGGGCAATAGCTCTTTTTCTCTCCCTCTCTTCTCTCTCTCTCTCTTTTCTTCCCTCTCACCCCATTAACACCCCTCAGCCGCCCCCCCCCCCCCCACACACACACACTTTCCTCAATTTCTATGCCTGCACAGAGACGTGGAGCAGGTTGCCCTATTCTCTGTGGCTATCTGTCGTCAGACGCTTTTACCCCCAATGCTCCACCCAGACATCCCCTCTCTGCTGCCCTGATACTTTTGGGCGTGTGCTAAATCTGTAAGTCTAGTGCCACTAGGTACAACTGGGCAAGTTTCATTTCATAATTAATGTCTATTAATTTGTATTTAGGGAAAATTAATCTAATTGCTTAAATGTTTTATGATCATGAAAATGACTATAAAATAATTATTTAAATAAAATCTGAGTTTACAAAAAAGTAGTATATTACCATTGAGAACTTGCTCTTAAAGGACTATGTTTTGAAAGACTAGTAGCCATATTTTGTTCAACTACCAAAAAATGTATTTGCTAATATTTTATTTAGACTCTGTAACGACATCATAAACATTTGTTTTACCTTTGGCGGTAAAGACAAGATCTTATAGATAAGAAGGGCATTAATCTCTCCCCACATTTTTTTGTAAAAGTAAATGATCTTTTTATTTGTAAATCATTCAGCTAGGTGCCAACCAATTGCTATGGGTATTAACAACCATATGAACACTGCTAATAAACCATAATGGTAGCAATAGCTCACCCCCATTCTTGAGCACGTAGATCCATAGAGACTGCTACATGCTTTCTATATGTTAACTCACTTAATATTTATTACCAACCTATGAACTTGATTTTATTATCTTCATGGAACAAACTTGGACATAGAAAAGTTAAGGAGTTTGTCAAAAGCACACACTTTGAGAAAGGCAGAACATGGATTTATCATCGTGATAAGTCATTGTCCCCTGCCCTAAGATTTTCCATCTAATTGAGCACAGGCTGTGGAGCCATATTGACTAGGTTCAAATCCCAACTCTGCCACCTCCTAACTGTGTGATCTCAAAGAAGTTACTTAACCTCTCTCTGCCTCAATTTTCCCTTCTTGAAAATGCAAATAATAGTTTCAAACTCCTAGGGTTGGTTGAGGATTGAATCAGTTAATACATGTAAAGTATTTACTGGCACACAGTAAGCACTCAATAAATGTTAGCTATTAGAAATACAATAGAAAGTATAACTGTATAATAATTATGCAAGTTACTGTTGTGAGCATATAATTATATTTATTTATAAGCTGCTAATTCCACAATTTTGTCATAACAATTTTGTTATAGGTTCAATCATTTCCCCCATGCGATGGGATATTTACTGATCCTTTCTCTTGCAATTCATTTTAAATCTGTAAGATAGATATTAACCATGGAAGTCACCACAAGATCCAGCTGTATTCTAGGAACGTGAAGGATTTTTAAATAGGGCTTTACAGTTTACAACACATTTTCACATTCCTGCAGCTATTTACCTATATATTCCCACAAGAAAATGTTGCAATAAAATGCTTCATGAGTGTGCTCATTTAAAGTGAAAATGTACTTGAGACTTTGG